ACCATCAAACAGAAAGTCATCAATTTCTCTGAATAAGATTGAGAGTCATTTCAATATCACCATCTCTTTAACCCTCATATTTTTTCTGTGAACCCAATAGTGTTTATAATCTTAGTTTGACTTTGGGACCTTTTGGAACTCTGGAAGATGATTTTTGAATTAGCAGGAGTCTTAGTGTGGAACCCTTGCCCTGCTCCTCACTTCTAACATCGGGGACAGCTGTGATTTTCCAYAGCATCTACACAACAGAGTAGAGCCCTTGGGTATTTCTACATTCTTCCCCAAAGAACGCAAGACCTAGGCAAACCTCCTTAATTGAACTGTGCTTGCCGCTACACCTCCAAGCTCCAAACCAGGTCAGCCAGTCAGCCACACCATAAAAAGATTGGAAGGACATCTATGGAATTCCATAAATTGCAGTGCAAAGAATCTGAAGACCAAGCCACTGTTGTACAAATTCTCCTGTGCCCACAGTGCATCCTCTCACTACAAAGACAAATTAAATCTTACTGAAGAAAGTGGAAAAGCAATTGCTATGGAAAAATGGGAATGATTTTTTTTTCCAGAAATAAAAACATTCTCATGACTGGCAGCTCCACCCAAAGGACTTTAAAATAAAATTAAAAACAAATTAGAAAATGCTTAGGGAAGAATATTTGTATTATCCAAAACTTTTCCTTTTACAAAGAATTCCCTACAGAATTCTTCTAAATGTTAAACTCCCCTGGTGCCTTTAAATGGTTGTTTACAGATCATTAACTACTCCTGGAAAGGCTGGTGTAGAAAACCTTCCAGAGTATGAGAATCTCCCATTTATTAACCCAAATTTAAGAGAAGGTTGCCTGAGATGGATGGAATTCAGTTTGCCAGAAATGAATTTTTGTCACCAATTTCAGAATGTAAAATTGATCACATACAAGATTTCTTTCTAATGGACAGAGCTCAAGTTTTAACATTATGTTAGTGCTGAAATATTTGGGCATTATATGTGAATATTTAAAAAAATAATTCAATATTGAGGATTGAACCCAGGGGCACTCTTCCATTGGGCTACATCCCCACCCCTTTTTATTTTATTTTGASATAGGGTCTCACTAAATTGCCCGGGCTGGCCTTGAACTTACGAACCTCTTGCATCTGTGACCCAAATCTCTTGGATTACAGGTTTACAGAGTCACATTTGGCCACAAATACTAAAATTGAACAACCTATTAACCAAGTGTTAGCATTTAGGGGTTTTTAAAGGTTTTTGTGATTCAATAAATAACATTATTATTAAATGCACAGTTTTGTCTGTATTTCTGCTTGATTCCTTAGAGTGACTTGTGAAGTAGAATTAATAGATAAAATCCCCAAAATGTGCAATATTTTTGATACAAATTGTTCAAACATTTTTCAGACAGGTAGTTTCAACAAATTTCCTTTACCACAAGTTATTCTTACTGCTTCTTCATCAGAAATGAATATGAGTAGTTTGAAAATAATTCCTAAAGTTTTAGTTGGAGACACTATGTTAGTTGTTTATTTGAAAATAATTTGATTACAAAATTAAATGCATTTATTATCATAGTTCTTTGTATTTCTCCCTGTAAACTAACTGCTTTTGTCTTGCCAATCTGGTGGGAATTTTAGTACTTTTCTTAATGATTTTTAAGTGTTCTTTACAYATTAAAGGCAGCATGTTAAAGACATTAACATATTAAAGTTATGAAAGTTTTCATATCAGTTATACATTTTTTTTCACCTTAAGTGTTTGCATTTTAATTTTGCTTATGGAATTTTTAACATGTGCTTTTATACTTTTTTCCCATCAATTTTGGCTAACAAAATCTCCAGAAATTACAACTGAAAAAAAATCACTTATGTTTTCTTCTATTGTTTTCATGGTGTATGAAGTACTTCTACCATCTGGATGAATAAGACTACTCATGGTTTCTCACACTGTTTTCTCCTTCAGAGGGTGGAAATATAATAACCATTTTGCAGAGTTCTGGGCCTCTATAAAATGACATTTGAAAGTTCTCTGTTGTTAGAAGGTGATTAAAATGCAAGTTGAAGAATAATTACGATCATAGCTGACAGAATCTGATATGTCAAAATGAAAAATATATATATATTTGGCATATATCCTGACCAAGCAAAGCAAAACAAAAAAAAATACATCTTTGATGACTTTGAACAACACAGAAGTTAGTGTACTTCGGCCAAATGTGAAATAGCTAAATTTTATGAGCGATTTGAAACAAACTTGATGATGACCTTTACCCTTTTGTATTTGTTGCTTTTATTTTTGTTTGTCTCAAAATTCTCCTCAAATAACATGTAGTCAGAGGCTAATGTATCCCAGAGATGAAATGAATCTTCTAAACTCTTTGCATTTATGATCTCAGGAAAAGGTTTGCAATCCCACCAGCCCCTGGCCCCACTCCCATCTCACTGCTCTATTTAATGTGGTGGGGACTGTCTTCTCACATCCCCAGCTCCTATATGAATCATTTTCAGCATGGAGTTCTGATCATTATACACAAGGTCACTTTTTAATTAGAACAATATAGTAAAACATATGCTCAGAAGATAAATGAGGTACAAAGCTAGCTGTGCTACAGTGAACCCTTTTATTGGAAAGCCCTTAAAAATAATAAGCGTCATGTATAGTCCAGGGGCCTTTGCAACATATTTCAGTACAGCAAAGTGCCAGCCATCGTGAATGAATACCCTGTTATAGTGAACAATCATTTGGCAGCATAGGTTATTTTAATGGACACATCACTTTAAACGAAGCCTTCACCATCTGTTCTGCCCTCTAATTACAGATGCAAAAAGAACATAATTCACAATTGCATCATAAAAAAGTAAGATATAAGTGATTTAAATGCATGTGTATCTTCTTTATTCAATGCAGCATGCAGCTGTTATGTTGTTTTCATGTTTCAAACACAAATGAGGATAGAAATCGCTCTTCTTTGAGGGAGTGAGTTCCCCACTGCAGGACATTTGGGGATGTGAATGAATGTAAAACTGTGTGTTCTTAGAGCACTTTCATGTCACATAAGAGGCAAAGTGAGCCTGTAATGCACTCGGTGCATTACCACATCTGATGGAGTGCATGTTTGTGTTGAAACCTAATTTTCAGTCGGTTCCTTTCTAGGCATTGGTATTTCAGTGACTTCTCAGGTTAATGTACTTTGCCAAGAACCAATGAGTGGAGATGTGTAGGTAATAACAAAGGAACCCTCCTTCAGAATAAGTCGAGCCCACTGCTTACTCCCGAACCAGAGGCAAACTCTGGCATGAACCAGTGGAGTTCTTATATGAATCTATTCTGGCTTCCCAAGATTAACCCTCTGACAGAACTCCTTTCTTTTTTCCCTAATGTCTCAAAAATATTTCAAGACCCTCATATGGATTTACAATTTACTGATTACTTGTTTAGGGGAGAATGTCTTGATCCGTGAACTTCTGGGTGAACTTCTGGGTGAACTTGATTCGTTATAGAAACTCTAAAACATCCACTGATCCTTGATACTGATCCAAATGTAATGTTTCCAGTACAGAATTTTTCTTCTTAAAGAAAAAGTTTATTAATTTCATTCTATATATGCTCAATTTGCTTGCAAACAAAAAATGTAGGTAGTCAAATGAAATTTTAATAGAATTTATATTTCTTAGGGCTAACTGCTTGGGGGTGGTGYTTGAAAAACAAATGAACTGGTAAAAAAATGCAAATAAATAGTTTAAAAACCAAATAAATAATGTAAAGTTCTATATTGTAACCCTTTCAGAAATAAGAAAATATTTCCCAGAAAAATTCTCTTACCTTCACTATGGTCTAGCTAAGAATGATGCAAACTTTGCATAGTTAATAAACAGGTGTTCTGAAGGTGTTTATTAAGTAGTTTAAAAAAATTCCTCCWCCCCCACCAATTTAATTTGCATTTCTAATTTGCCTAGCAATTATTCTGTCTTTGCAGATTAATTAGAAATAAACAATTGTTAGAATAGTCTCACTATCCAAATTATAATTATTCTATACAAAATGTACAACTTTATAAGATCATGTACTATGTGTATATRCATTATAGCTGATGCAAAAACTTATCAATTATTTATGGATATGTGTGTGTATGTGTATGTATAAACACAACAGAGATGATATTCAACAAAACATGCTTCATCCAGATGGACTTTACAATTGGCAATGCTTTCCATTGGTCAATACCATGCGGAACTGATTGCTGAGATTTTTCATGTTGCCTCTACACACCATTTACACAGAATTAAAGCATAATGTTAACCATGGTTACCTTTGAGTGGTTTTATCAGAAGAAAGTGATCTGCATGTCATCCTTTCACATTTTAAAATTTATATTTATAATTTCTTGAATAATTAATAAAATATATAGTTTAAACAAACAAACCAAAAAAAAAGAAAGAAAGAAAAAACAGAAACAAAATTGAGTGTTAAGTTACTCTGAACACTTTTCAACCTGTTGTTGAATATGTGTTTTTGTGAAACTCTGTTCTTATTGCTATAGACTTCCTTTATGATTTGCTTAGATCATGTATCAATTAAAATATAAGTAACCAGTGGGTCTATTATATCAATTAATCCATGAATAACTTGATACTATTATTTATTAAAATTATAAACATTTTTCAGAACTATATGTAGCACACAATCAGAAATTTTCATCAAAATTATCTTACCAGTGTTTCAATGACACTGTTGTTAAAGAAAGTACTATAGGAATGCTTCTCTGTTTCTGAGATTCTTACACTTTAATTAGTAGCAATATGAGAGAAGTAAGCACAATACATTTAAAAATAAAAAGTATTAAATCATTTCAACTTTATTCCAAAATATTATTCTTACACTTTTTCCTGACTATGAATTAAAATTTATAATAAATGAAAGACTAGGAAAACATGTTGCCTCCCTGTTATGGTTTAGATATGAAGTGTCCACCCAAAGTTCATGTGTGAGACCCTGCAAGGGGGTTTAGAGATGAAATAACTGGGTTATAAGAGCCTTAACCTAATCAATGTATTAATCCACTGATACAGATTAACTGGGTTGTAACCGTGGGCATATATGGTGTGGCTGGGGGGGGTGAGTCATTTGGGGTGTGTCTTTGGGATATGTATTTTGTCCATGGGGAGGAGACTCTCTCTCTCTCTCTCTCTCTCTCTCTCTCTCTCTCTCTCTCTCTCTCTCTCTCTCCTTCTCTGTCTCTGCTTCCTGGTGCCATGTCCTGAGGTGCTTTCCTCTGTCATGCCCTTCTATCACGATATTCTTCCTCATATCTGGCCCAGAGCAATGGAGTTGGTCATCTATGGGAAAAAAAAAAAAACAACTCTGAAACTGTGAGCCCCCAAATAAACATTTCGTCTTCTAAAATTGTTCTTGTCATGTCTTTTGGTCACAGCAGCAAACAAAAACAACAACAACAAAAACTAACTAACTAGAAAACTCCCCCAATATTTTCACTGTATTTCTTTGAATATTCAGAGATCTGTTTAAGAATGTTTAAACTATCTTAAAAATGGGATGGGAGGAAACTTTGGAAAATAAAAACAAGAAAATATGTTAACTGTCACTTTATTTTTTCTTTAAGTATTGGGGATCAAACAGAGAGTTTCATGCATTCTAGGCAAGTACTCTACCATTGAGTTATATCCTAAACCACCCTCCCCTTTCTTAAACTTAGCTGAGTGAGTATAACATTTAAATTCAGGGTATATGCTCAGTAATATTGGAATTGATCAAATATTAAAAATGAATGATTCCTGTGTGATCAACCCACACATATATTTTGGAAATATTCCATTTATTTTAAATTCTTCTTATTATAGTCAATAACTTTTACTAGAAAAAAATATGAATTACAGAAAACTTGAATTAAAAGAATCATGTGTTGATAAGTGTCTGTGCTCAAGGCTATATTAGGAATTCATAAAAATAAAGTCAAGTAAATATTTCTGCATATGCAGCTTTCTGGATAAATCTGTTTAAATGGTTGTAATTCAAGTGAACATTTCTGCCTGTTCAAATATGTGTCATTTGACTCGGAAAGAAGAGATGGATAACTAACAAAATGTTTCACCTAAACTTTGTTTTTTATTTAAATAACGAATAACTTCTTTTTTTAAAAAAAATAATGTTAGATGTATTCAAATTAAAGAACAAAATAATTTGTAAAAAATGGTTGCTGATCATCCATAAATTTAATTTTAGTTCTAATGTTTCAGGACTATTAATTTTCACTAACTTTAACATGAACTTAAAAAAATAGTTGTATTTATTAAATGGCATGTAAATAGAATCCAGTTTTGAATCAAGGATATTGAATAGTATAAGATCAAGTTGGAGGTAAAAGGAGGTTTGTGCAGGGAGTATCACATACTTTCTTCAAGAAGAGGACACTGTACTGCCCCTGAAAAATGTCACATAATATTCATGAGAAACAATGGTACCCATTGTTAATGAAGTGTATCCACTAAGTGTATGAAATCTAAGGCTATAAATCCTCTACTAAGGCCACACCACCAAGTGCAACATTGATGTTAGTTTAGGAACCATTCTCAACAGTGATGTTCACTGACAACTAGAAATGGAAGGACATGAGTGAAGATGATGTTGATGGTGATGATGGTGAAGATGACAACAATGACTTTTAAGACTTACATAGCACTATGATGTATTGGACTCTGTTATAATCACTTTGTTTTTTTTTATTTAATCCTACTTAATCCTTCCAATGAAAGTCACTGAAACTCTAACAAAGACACACTTACCAAGATGAGGAACTCCAGAGAACCATGATTCTGTGAAAATCTTTGGCAACTCACATCACCATACCTATACCAGCTCTAATCCTCTCAATTGTAAACCAAACTCTGCTTAGCAAATAATTATGATTGGAATAAACAGAGAATGACAGGTCCAAAAATATTTCATGATAAACTAAAAACAGAAAATATCATAATTTATTTTATATTGGCATATATCATAATTTACATTTATATTAGGATATAAATGTATATACTAACCTATTTTGTCCATGGGGAGGAGAGTCTTAACCTATTATTTTTTTTATTTTCCAAAGTTTCCTCCCATCCCATTTTTAAGATTGTTTAAACATTCTTAAACAGAAATAAATATATTATATATACAATTAGTGTATACTAACCTATTTCCATATAAGCAGACTATCTTCAGGTATGTATCTAGAACAGTAGCAACCACAAAAGCTGAAACACAGGATCTCACTGCTCAAAATAAGAAAAAGTATTTTTAAGTAAATTGTTTCCACTTTGTGAAAAACACTAGGTTAGCCCCTATACAGGAGACAAAAAGAATTAATATTGATCCTCAAGGAGCTGATCACCCAGTTACAAACACAATCATGAACTCATAGAACTATAGTGATATGAGACTGAACAATGTCACATTTTTAATTAATTAAATGAAAAATCCCCAGTCATTTTCCTCTATTTTATGACTTCTTTTTACAACTTTCCTCCAGCTAGATAGCTTATCTCTCCTGCTGGGATTTCGMAATCCTTTGGGACTTTATTAAAGCATGCACCTCTTTGTACTGAGCCTGTCAAAACCTCTGTTTTCACATCTGTGAGATACCAAGGACCAACCTCAGAGTGTTGCTGTAGAATTAAGTCAATGAAAAAAAAAGTACATAATATTTTCTGGCATATAGTGACAATCATTGATAACTACACCCATATTACTGCTCTTACTACTATTATTATCATCTACTCCATACTCAACTTCTTGAGCAGCTTTATCATCCTCATATGATCATTTTAAGAATTCTAATAACTCCTAGAAGACTTCTCTGAATGTTTTATACTTTCTCAAATAGGAATGATGAAGCAGACGGTAACTGCCAAAGGTTAAATTAGTATCTAAGGGAAAAGTGTTTATGGTTTCTTCATGGTCTCAAAATAAACATGCTGCTGAAGGTGAGTTGAAATGTATCAGGGTCTCATTCTGGGTGAAAAAATGAGGTTAAGGGGGCTGGGGCTGTGGCTCAGTGGTAGAGTGCCTGCCTCACATGTGTGAGGCACTGGGTTCAATCCTCGGCACCACATAAAAATGAATAAATAAATAAAGGTATTGTATCCATCTGCAGCTAGAAAATATTTTTTTAATGAGGTTAAGGCATTAGTCATTGAAGAGTAACTAGAAAAGAGTCCTGTATCAAAGAATAGTAGTATTAGGTCTATACAAAATGTGTGTGTGTGTGTGTGTGTGTGTGTTAGGTATAGTGGAAAAGGGAACTCATTTAGAGAGTTACTCCCCTGTTTAGGTATGAAAATCTGAGAACCTCTACTAATTGGGGTAACAGATATAAGATAAAAATCAGACTATAAGAGAAAAAAATTACAACCGGTTTAGATTACTGCTAACATCTAAAAGAAAAAATAATATTCAGAGGTGGAGGTAAGGTTTTGGGTTCAGACAGGAAAGAACAATTCAAATGAGAAAAGAAAAGAGAAAACAAGCCCATTTTCCTAAATGGGACCAGGACATGCATTTGAGATAAACTAAATTTAAGGTTTACAGGTTGTCAGATTGAACTTGTTTGCAAGTTATTATCATGTGAGGCTGAATCTTTACCTAGAGAACTAGAAACAACTAACTCCCTAATTCAACTGGTCCTTGTCCTTTGTAAAGTTGGTATCAAGGTACATAAGTAATCAAAGGCCTTCAGCAAAGTATCTTGGTGCCCACATTAGTGAGGAGAGGGACAAAAACCAATTCAGCCACTCTTTTTTTATGATTATACAACCATGGCCTTGGGTCTACTTGGTTTCTTCGCACAGAGAGAGTTCTTTGGTGTTGAGATCAAAAATAGTCTTATCCTTTAATCTGCAGCAGTATTCTATCTTTGGAAGCAAATGAGTGAGGGACATAGAAAGGCATTGCCAGCTCAATACAATTCCCAGTAAACCGACAAGAGTCACGTGTGTTTCTACAGACTACGCTGGTATGCATGCAAATACATCAAGGTACCCAAATTTGACCTAATATACAGGTTTCATATTATGCAAAGAGAAATAATTTTTTTTCAAAATGTAAGACCTTCAACAAGCCAGAAAACAAGTGTTTATTTAAAATATATTTTTTAGCTCTGATTCAGAGGAAAGACACCAGCCAATAACTGAATACCCACGGGGTCATCCACACGCTGAAGTCCCTTCCAGGAAAATTGGTTTATAACAGTAAGTTTACAAAACTATGTGTCCCCAAGTAGAGCTAAGAAAACTCCAAGGCGTATTCATTCCAATTCCATGACACAGCTCTAAATATAGAGCAGGGGAAATGCTTGTTCATGAAGACACATCAGATTCACTGGCCTTTCTAGATGCGGTACCAATGATACCTTAACTGAGATTATGCTCTTCCCTGTCCGGTTTTCTACAGCACTGTCTTGTTTGTTTTCTTCAATTACTTATGATCCAGGTCACTATTAGAAGCTGGGGACCAAGAGAAAATACTTATTTAGATATACATCTAGTTTGCCTGGTTTTTGTTTTTTGTTTTTGTTTTTTTAAAGAGAGAGAGAGAGAATTTTTTAATATTTATTTTTCAGTTTTCGGTGGACACAATATCTTTATTTTATTTTTATGTGGTGCTGAGGATCTAACCCAGCGCCCCGCTCATGCCAGGAGAGCACGTTACCACTTGAGCCACATCCCCAGCCCCTAGTTTGCCTGTTTTACAAATAAGAAAACGGAGACAGGTAAATTTTTGCCCAAACTCTATTAAGAGAACACTGACTAGGACTATGGTCTTTCCAGAACCCAACCCATTTCCCAACTACCTTATTGCTTCTCATGTTGGAGATCTTCAGAAGAAAATATTGAGGGACTTTCTCAATCTTGGGATTTACAGGATAACTCATGAAGTTTGTTCCTGTTTGAGCTGGGCACAGGGAGGGTATGCTATAAAGGGGGGAAAAACAAGTCCAGCCACTTTTGTTGTGAGGAGATATTCTCAGAGTGTTCTCTATTTTATACATTCACTGGCACTGAAAACTTGTGTCACTGTGTGCCCTCTGCAGAAGCATGGGCTAGAAGAGACACAGACACAGAAAAGCATAGAAAATTTTCCACTAGCTCATGTCTCATCATCTCACGAGAAATTCCCTAGATGCAGCCCTTACCTTCTCTCTTTCCTTCTCCTCCTCACTGGGGCTGCTGTTTGCACATCTTCAGCTATTTTTTTTTTCTCTGCTAAAATAAAATAACCTCAGCTCTTCATGTATGAAAGCTGCCAAATGATGCTATATATTCAAGAACCCAGAGGATGGTGGAACTAAAGACCCAGTGGTCCTAGGAAGAGGAAGGAAGCAGTGGGCCAGGCAGAGGCAGAAGGGCATAATTGGGTTCACACTACTGTCTTCCTAGCAACCAGATCTGGAATGTGAAAATTGGAGTGGTAAATTTCTGAAATAATCAAAGCCTTACTTAAGTATAATGAATATAAATATATCTTAAAATAATGAATTCAGTGATTCTGAAAGAAAAAAAAAACAAAAGAAAATTACCTTCTTCAAAATTGAATATGTTTACTAATAAGTCCAAGTTAGTATCACATTACATTCAAAAGCTAACCATGATAAACTGAAAACAAATGCTCTAAGTTCATGAGGTGATGCACTGGCTTCAGTATCCTTCTAAAGAGAAGGTTAAACTGGTCAGTACTATATTTCCAAAAAACACGTTTCCCAACTTGCAACTATTTGGTTTTAGATAGGCATGCTTACTTGAAAAATTCATAGAAAGTATCAAATATTAAATTCTTTCCCACCAAATGAGATACCTTCAAATTTTAACCTCAAGCAAAGTTCTCTAGAATGCCATTGTAGCAGAGTTGTATAGAATGGAATTTTTAAAATAGTCTGAATCAGTAATTTCTAAAATATATGTTCAAAAGTCAAACAAATATTGAGTGATCATAACTGGAAGAGGACTCTAAACTGGTGAACTTGAAGTGGAATGGAAGGAAACCCAGCTAAATATTAAAATCAGCTGATATGTAGTTGATCTGAGTTTCAGTGTTGGTGTTTAAACAGAACATTCCTCGGGCATTCATGTCTCAGTTCTGACGTTTCTTCAGCCTGGGTGGAAGAGGACTAAGGGTATTTGAGCTTTCACATTTCCCTCTCTGCACATAAAACACTTAGATAGCTCTTTGGGTCTGGGTGCTCTAAACTCTCAGAACCTACTCTGGATACAGAGAGGCCTAAAGGGAGACAGATGCTTATGTCTGGGGATAGCTCAGATATTACCTTTCAGGAAGCCTCTTCAGAAAGTGAGAAGAGAGATCCAAAGTGGCAATCTGCAGTCAGAGGATTCACATTCAAGCAGGGTGATGCTCTTCAGCCAATCCAACTTGGTCATAACCCATCAAAGCCAATTGGGTTCCATGTTCTGTATTTCAAATCCTGACATAAAATGCAATAGTACAAAAGTTTTATCTATGCTGACACCCAGATAGCTACAAATGAATAATAATAACAGTCATATGCAATGGATCACAGAGCTGATGTGGTTCAGCCATTAGCACCTAAAACACTTGAATTCTCACCTTCTACTTAACGTTGCTTGCTTTAAAGTCGTATTACCAAAACATTCTCAGGAAAGCACTGTATTTTTTGGTCTTGTGATAATCAAAAGTACCGTGGTGGTTTTTTGTTGTTTTTTTTTTTTAATCTTTTAAATCATACAATTGCACACATTTTCAGTCTTGCTTCCTGAGTTCATTTTTTTCCCCTTTAGGACCATTTCCAAAGATCTCAAGAAAATGAAAGAAACCACTGTGCGCAAGCTGGAATGCATGAAAACCATACCATCTCCTCCTAGAGGGCAAGGAACAGATCCCACGACTCTGTACTTGTCCCTCCTCTACCCCCTCAAGCCACATTTCCCTTCTGCACCCGCATAGCTTCCCCAGCCCCAGTCTGGCCTTGCTCCCTGGCAAAGGGGACAGTAGTTATATCTCCTGGGGCCAGGATGTGAGGCCTGGGAGGAAATGTTGTCTTTGGGGAAATAGCAAAATTGTGTGACTACATTAAAGTCAACACTATTTATCTTCACCTCTTGTCCTATGGGCTGACAAAGGGACACCACTGTTAGGCCCAGCCCCCGTGCACAGCTGCAATAGAAAGAAGGCAGGGACTGGTACTTTCAAGTGTCAGACCTTTTGTGCTGACTACTAGTTTATGAGGCTGATGTCAAGCATTGCAGTCAATGAAGTCTTTGTGCTAGGTGTACAGGGCAGGACAGTGGAAAAACTGCCCTCTCCTATATCCCAGGCCCATCCATCTTCCCCTCACCCTGTTTCTCAACTTTTCTGTCTCTTGAGCAGACAGAGAGAGGATCCCTCCTGGGTTAATGTACTGGAAAATTGCTCTGCATGTTTATGAGGGGGTCCCTTCCAAATGAAAGAAAAAAGGAAAGGGAAAAAAAAACGGGAAGAAGAGTCATTTTTCCCACTGAACTCATTGGCCTTAAGCTTGTGGGTCTGACCCTGATTAAGAAAATCTCAATGTCCTGCTAGGAGGTTTATTGTGAAGTTTGGCAGAACGCACTTCCGATTGAATTTTTTTATTATTTATAATCACAAAGTGGTTTTGGACAGCTCTCATCACCCACCCCACCACCAGCTCCTTGGACTCCAAAGGCACAGCATACATGAACACACACACACACACACACACACACACACACACACGCTCGGGTCCAAGCCCTTACCTTTGAAGAGGCCTCATCCACTCACATCCCTGGATCTATTCTCTTCCTCAGAGGAGCTGCTTTCCCCAAGGCAATACCCTATAAATAGCAAACATGCTGTTTTCCTACAATTGCATGGAACATTGGACCATGTGAACTTTGCCATGGACGGATGTGGAAACCAGAGAAGGCTGCGTTACGTGATATCACTCACTTGCTTATTTTAACTTTTTTTTTCTAGCTAAAAATAATATTCTTTATCTCTAACCTCCTCCCCCATTCCTGTGTTTTATTCTTCTACAGGAGGTTTTAACCTAAAACAAAATGTCACATGAGTGGTTAAGACATCATCAACTATGTATGCTCCTGAAATGAAGGCCTGAAGTGGCACTAGGAGATTTTTCTAAAACCCAGCTGAGTTCTTCTAGTAACTTTCATGCAAAAGTCATGGGAAATGGGAACAAGGAAGTGTGAGAAATTACAGCCATTGTAAAACATGCTTTTTAGAAACCAGTAGACACACAGCAAGTATTCTTGAAAATGAAGAAAAAAAATAGTAATTTAGCAGCCTGGTGTATTTTTTTCTTCCTTCAGCCAGTTTTTCAAAAATTATTTGATGCTTCTGTAGATTATTAATTTAGCTGGAGAAATTAGAGGTGGAAGATATTTACACAGGAAGACTCCACTTCTCTGGTAACAGGGAAAAAATATAACCAGATTTTTTTGAAAGCATAGAAATGATTCAAACAAATAAGTTTAATAAAGAGATGGAATCAATGTTCAGTCTTCAGTTGCCGTGGGATTATGAGTTCTATCCTCCCTGTGAGTTCAGGACACCAACATTTGAGATACAAATGACACAAAAAGTTATGATTTCCTGGTACATGAATGGTCAAGTTATTTCTCCTATTAGGAGGTTTCCTAACGAATGTGGCAGCACACAATCAGATCTGTTTTGTTTTCTTTTGTTTCTATTTAAGACACAAAATGTTGAGAAGTTTTTGTTAAATGCTTTGATTCTAGCACATGAAGAATTCCCTCTTCTCCTGCTTCAATCTTTCCTAGTACGTACTTTTCACCCAGATTTTTCCCAATCAAAATCTTTCTTTTTGGCAGTTTCAAACTTTGTTCTGCTACTAACCATGGGCTCATATAAATATTCTGCAAGATTATAAAAAGAAATGGGGTGAAGCTGACAAATCTTGCCCAGGAGAGTGGGGGGCAGCCATGAAGTCAAAACACACATTAGCAGGGTCCCCTAATCTCTTAGCTGGCCCCCTTTTGTAGAAGGAGGTCAGCAGTGTTGGGTCCCCAGGCCTGCTCCCTGAAGGCCCTTAATAAGCAGATGTTACTGTAACGTGCTCGGGGAATCAAGCATAAATATGACCCTTGACCCCGCTTGTCAGCTGATCCACTGAGTCTCTTAGAAATATACTCTTCACTTTTCTAAACGCCCACTCTTTCCCACCATCCCCCTCTGCTCAGCCGGGCGCCCCTGCCTGGATTTCTATGCCTGTGGCTCCTGCTCTGGAGCTTGCACACTTGCCCGCAGTATGACCTTTCTCTTCACAGAGGTCAAAGGCCTAAGACCTCAGGCAGGCCTCTTTTCTTGCTGAAGGCCAGCTGATGAATCATTCCCAACTTGAAGGGAACAGAGGAAAGGGGAGGGCTCTGAAGTCCTTTTGAGAGAAACAACTGTGGTCTATACATCAGCATTTACACAGTTCTGACACTTCCAAAACTCAGGCTCCTCTCTGGGAACCACAGAAAGAAGGGACCAGAGGCTGCATGGAGAGTTCTCCCTGCCTAGGTTGGAGAAACAAAGATGATGTGTGTGCTTACCCCTTTTCAATGAATTTGATCAAGAGGACTTTGATGAATTATTCAAAACTCCCTTGCTTTTCATTTAGAAAAAAAATATTGGTGATTAATTTTTTTAAGGAAATTGTAACACATCTTCTCTAAGACAACTTGGGATTGGTAGATTGAGTAGTGAGGAATGGGGTTGGAAGCTGTGATAGCTCCCTAAATTACCTATGATGCTGTTATTGTTAATTTTTTCATTGTTCTGTTCTGTGAGCAATGTGCATTTGACCCCACATTTTTTCACAGAATCTTCAGTAGCTTTACAGAGCAGCTTAGGGAATATCACTGAGGAACATGGGAATGCTAGAGGTGGGGTGGACCAGCTGACTGCTCCAGTTCCCAAATGAGAGGAGCCCCCAGACAACTCCCACCAGTAGCCCTAAGGAAGGCTGCTTGCATTGGAACCAGATTTGGTGGTTTGGAATCCACCAATTTACAGACAATAACTGTGGTGGTTCTCTTTATCACTTTAAAATGTTCATAAAGAACTAAAGAACCAGCTACCCACCCAACATCATGTGGGTCAGAAGAAAAAAAAATGCATTCAGTTTGTGTTTATCAAAGCTTTTAAAAAAATAGCTTCATAAATACCTTTGTTGCCGTCAAATTTCTTGCATTAAAATGTTTCTAATAAGTCATAAAAGTTAAAAATAGAGATTGTATTTCCATCTTTGCCCAGACAATATGTTAGTGTACATAAATACTCTTTATTGTTTGCTCCCTCAGTCCTTTTAATTTTTGTTCCTTCTATATTTCTGTTTTTCTATTTTGTGTGTAGGGAAGCAGTTGTCAGTGATAAAATATCTGGGATATTGTTTTTTAGGTCTTAATGTAAAGATAGTGAAAGAACTAGTTGCATCAGAATCTCTATTTCTGTGGTGATGGCACCCTTTCTATTCCTGCATCTGTAGCTTTCTCCTGCCACCATCCAGGTTCTTCAGAATTCACCTTCAAACGTCAGACTATGAATGACTGACTATCTTCTGTTGCTTCTCTGCTGCCATCAACTCAGGAGGTTTCAGATTGACTACTCAGCAGCATTTTTATATAATGCATATTTCAGGGCTGAAACTCATTTTCAATAAATGTTAATATCTATGGATTTATTCTGGGGGATATGTATGTTTTATACAGAATACAGGCAATTCCACTTAAAAAATAATTACTCTAATTAACAAATAAAAATCATGTATATGTATTATATAATGCAAGATGTTTCCAAATAAGTGTATATTGTGGGACAGTTAAATCTGGTTAATTAACAGATGCATTACTTCACATTGTTAGCATTTTTTGTGTAAGAGCACTTAAAATCAATTTTCCACTTCATTTTGGTGAAAAAAAAAATAGCATTGCTTCGTCTTTTTCTTAGGCAAATGACTCCCCTGTTAGGTGTCTTGACCCAAGATTCAGTTCTCCATCAGCATATTTCAGAGCTCTTCCTCCTCTGCCTCTTTTTTTTTTTTCTCTTGTCTTATCAGCATTCACTGGTAATTTGAAAATCTCCTAACTTGGAACACAACTGTAATCCTGTTATTGTTGATCTTATCTTGAAGACACATGACTATCACACTTTAAAATTTGTATTTACCTACCTCATAGAGATGAACATTGCCTATTCTTTTCAATTTTAAAAAGTGACACAAAGGTTACAAAGATACAACATAAACATACCTGATGAGAGAAGATCAGTCAGTAGACAGAAAAACATAAAACAAGAAAATAAATGGAGAGTGTCACCCCAGAGGTGCCGACCAACTTTTAGGAGAGCTTAGCAGATAATAGTACTGTTGGAATTATGTCTTAAGCAAGAGATATTTGTAAAATGTCTTAAACCCACAGAGATATCTGTAAAATATCCCACTGGAACCAAGAAAACAAAAGCATGAGGCAGAAGAGACAATTAAGGATTGTTAGGAAGCTTGATCACATAAAAGAACTCAGAAAAAAAGAGGCCAGGCAGAAAAAGGTTGAAATATAGTAATCATCCAAAGTTGAGAAACTGTGAAATCAACATATCTGAATGGATCAAATGCCTCAAACAAGACAATTATATGTAGCTCCTGAGTCAATTCAAATTCTTACACTGAATTTTTGATCACCTAACCCCAGGAAATTTCCAATTGATAAGTTGGTAGAATGAAGATCTAGTCATGGCTTTTTTAATTTTTTGTTTGTTTGGTGGGGGGAGGTACTAGGGATTGGAGCCAGGGGCACTGACCCACTGAGTCACATCCACAGTCCCCTTTTTTATTTTTATTTTTATCCTTTTAATTTAGTGACAGGGTCTCCCTGAGCTGCGGAGGCTGGCTTTGAATTTGTGATCCTTCTGCCTCAACCTCCCCAGCTGATGGGATCACAGTCATGTGCCACCAAGCCTGTCAGCTTCTGTCTTCTTGATGATATTCTATTCACAGAATGGACCCTTCCATGTCTGTGGCTCCACCACAGAGCAAGTAGCCTCGACTTCCTGTTATGCTTTCCCCTGGCCAATGCCATAATAGTCGGCAAGGCTGCAATGATTTTCATTAAATCAGTAACTGAACATCACAGTTAATGTATCATTTTTATGAGTATGGTTAGAGATACTCAAACCATAGAAAATGAAACTGAGCATACTGATGCAACAGAATTGTTGGCTTAAAAAATTGATGACCCACATGGATGAATTTAAAAGAGCAGAAATCATACCAAGGACATTGTCAGACCACAGTGGGATTTAGATGAAGTTAACAGTAATAGAAAACAGTATTTGGAAATTAAACAGTGAAATCCTAGTTGTGGATTTTTAGAAACTCATGGCTCAAAAGGAAGCCAGAAGAGAAACCAAGAGAAGAAGCGAAAGATTCTAGGGACATTATAAGAATAATAAAGGAATGCAGTGAGAAAGTCTGCCAACAAAATTATTAACCTTGTTGAGATGAACTAATTTGTTGACAGATGCAAACTGTCAAATATCACTCAAAAAATAATTTAAAAATCCTGAATATCTCTATTATATGATTTTATTTAAGATGTCTATTAAAGATATATTGAATTATTAATTAGCAGTTCCCCCTGCCAAAAAAGCAACTAAAAAAGCACCAAGCCTGGATGGTTTTACTAGTGAATTATACTAATATTCAGAAGGAAATAACAATTTTCCACAATATTTTCCAGAAAATAGAAGCAGAGAGAACACTTCCAAAACACATTCTATGATGTCAGCATGTTAGGTGATTACTATT